TTGAATCGAGTGCGAAGCAATTTCGGCAAGGAATGCGTTCCCTCGATACCTCGTACACGGGTATAGCTTGCCCAGACGGGACAGGCTCAACCAATTTCAACTTCCATTATACACCCTTACCCGATTCCGTGGACGTATTTCCAAAGTATGCAAAGCAACCGATCTGGATTTCCATGGTAATCTCGACGCTTTACGCTCGGTCCTACGACCCTCCGACTTTCTTTCTTNAGCGTTACGTCCGGGAGCTGGCTATACTTTAGTTTGCAATTTAAACTTTACTTCCTCCGGAATTGATTAGCTTTTAGTAATTAAGCAAGCAACGCCTTGGACCACCCCTACCACTTACCCTCTACGATCCAGTCTCTCTCTCTCCCTCTCTCTTTCTCTCTCTCTCTCTTTCTCTCTCTCTCTCTCTCGTGCGAGCGCTCTGTCTCTTTCCTTGTCCCCCTATCGCGTGTATATGTACCACCTTCATTCTGCCTCTTCTCCTTCTTCGCCTCCTAGCCTCCTAGGTTTCCCTCTTCCCTCGTGTCTACACACAGGCGCCTGTCTCACCCTGCTGCGCCTGCGTCCGAGCACGCGCGCGCTCGCTCGTACAATTGCACACACGCACCCACACAATGGCCACACGCATCCACTCAACACGCGACACACGCTAGCCCACCCAACTTCCTCCGCCACCTCGCCGAAGCCCGCTCAACCCCTCGCGGACTCCCTCTTTCTCTTTCACCCTCGCTTTCGCCTCTGTCTCACCCTCTTGCTCTCTGCCACCCCCCTCTTCCTCTCTCTGTCTATATCCCTCTCTCTCTTTCTCTCTCTCTCTCTCTCTCTCTGTTCTGTTACCGCTCTCTTCCTCTCACCGCCCCTCCGCATCAACGGGTGGGTTTTAATCAACGCTTTACGAGTGTGAGACAGAGGAAGTTAAGCCGTGGCACCGTGGAGAGGGGTAAGCAGCGTGAGCGCGAGCGCGAGCATGATTACACAATACGCCCGCGTGCTCCCGGTGCCCTGTGCACGCGTACGCCCGTCTCGACCGAACATTTTTCGACGCGCGAAAACGCAACCTCCACGCCGGCGAAGATTCGCGTGTGTTTCCCGTTGAATCGAGTGCGAAGCAATTTCGGCAAGGAATGCGTTCCCTCGATACCTCGTACACGGGTATAGCTTGCCCAGACGGGACAGGCTCAACCAATTTCAACTTCCATTATACACCCTTACCCGATTCCGTGGACGTATTTCCAAAGTATGCAAAGCAACCGATCTGGATTTCCATGGTAATCTCGACGCTTTACGCTCGGTCCTACGACCCTCCGACTTTCTTTCTTTCTCTCTCTCTCTCTCTCTCTCTCTCTCTCTCTCTCTCTTTCTTCATTCTCTTCCTCTCTGCTCTCTGCTATCTGCCTTGTCTTCCTCTTTCGATGTTCCATTTCTTTCCGGAGTAAACAATCTTATCGATCCGACTCTTTCTGTTTCCAGTTTTTAATGAACCGATGATGTCTCGGGAAATGGTGCAGTTAACCCTTTGCTCATTTAATGTTTGTGAAAAAGACTTTTGCTAGAAAACTTTTTATGAAAGCCATGCCTTATTAATTCGACGATTTAGTTTCAAGAGAAAGTAACGCACTTGTGTGAACAATTCCATGGCTCAGTTGTCTCAAAGTGTCTCAAATTGCACAATTTTTTTGAGTCTATAGGATTTCTTCTTGCAACGTTCTTTTCTGACAAATACGTAAATCCTGTATGCTACGGTCCAATTAATGAATTAATTATTTTTTTGGAATTGTGACTTGGGGCGGTTTTCCTTATAGCCACAGAATTGTGAGATCAAATTTTAGTGCTTTTACTGAAAAATGATTGTAGAAGAGTTGAATTACCAAATATTTGAAAGGTTTTTTCTGGGATCAAATGACAGATTGGAAACTAACGAATGAAATTTCTAGAATTTTAAATACGATTGCCGCTTAGATTCGGAGTTACAGAGCCAAACGTAAGAGTTAGCACATATACGGTTAGCAACGAAAATATACGAACGCTTTTTAAAACGAAATAACTCCTTTATAAGTGTCTAAAAAATTGTTTCCAAAAATCGTTATTAATTTGAGTGACGAAAGAAAAGAAAAAACTCGCGTTAACTCTTTCGTTACAAAGCTCAGATAAAAACAGTTAGAAAACACGAGTCTTTTATTCTTTTTTATTCCAACCAATTGCAATTTAAAATAAAAAATTTGTAGAGATTGACTGGTAGGCTAGTTCCTCTAATATCGCAACAAAATTTTCATCCCGTGGCCCAAAAATAAAGAAGTTATTTCGTTTCAAATGGCATTCGAATACTTTCATTGTTAACTGTAGGTACTTGCGTTGTGAGGGGCTTGGACCGAAGATTACGACACTTTTCAAAACTTCAAAATTTGCAATTGTCTTCATTATTCTTTCCTTCAAGCATTCACAGACTATTTTGTTATAAAGATTTTAAAAACTCAACGAATCGACATCCTCTCTTCAAAACTTCATTATTTAGTAAATTTTCAACTAATTACGACGATTACGGTAATCCTATTTTACATTTTACAATTATTTTCATTAGTTCAAAACATGCTAAAATACTTACTGCTGTCACAATTCGCAGTCAAAAATAAGATATTAGAGACATTCAAGTACATCTCGACCGTTAGTGGTTTATTCAGCAACGAGCGAGTTCTGTTTTGACAAACAAAATTATAATGGCGTTGCTCGTTCGAATATTTTCATTAAATATCTCCAGTACCGAAGAGAGAAAGATCAAAATTGTGGTATAATAAAATCCACGTCACCAGCTAAGGGTCGAATGAAGCATTCGAGATTGATTATGGCTCGAGGGTGGGTTTCCATTAGTATCATGTCGTGCGTCCAAATTCCCCGAGCTCCTTCACAGGTTTCGGAAGCTCGCGCGCCTACGCCACGTGCCCCAACGCCCGACGAATTTAAAAACGCAATTTACGGACAATAGAATAGCGGTCGGAGAGTTCGGTAACCTTGTCGGCGCGCTGGATAGGCAGGCTATGTAGAACAAGGACTACGTTAGGCCGCGATAACATCGGGGAACGATGGGGAAGCGAATTTTCGCGGTGCCGCGAACCGATTTCCATTCATCGGGACCCCGCGACCCCCTCTGTCCCCGGCCCGGCGCCCCCTCCATCACCGATATCGTAAAAATGTTGTTTTTTAATTTAGGGGATGCCGCGGAGGTTAATATACGACTTTAATTCCAGGATTTCATTTAGGGGTTAGCCGTATCCGCGTTTCGAGGGGATCTCTCGGAGGCCGTGGATACAGAAAACTTGAAAGAAGAGGTGGGGCGAGGCGGGGCGGGGGTGGCCGAAGGGGAAGCGTACTCCGAAGACAAGAAGCACCGGCAATTGAGGCTGAACAAGAGACGGTTGACCACTCTCGGCTCGATTGCCTTTTCTACCACGTCGAGATCGAACTCTTTGGATAATGAGCGGAGTGGATTGCAAACATTCGACGCAACAAGAGAACTCGCATTGGCCGCCGGAGGAAGTAATCTTCCGGAGCGTGCTGTTTGCTCCGTCGCCGCTGACATTCGAATGATCGGTGAAAGACACGGCGCGCGCTCGATTGCACTCGTATATATTCGGAATAATTACCTACCGGACGGGCCTGATCTCGTAACTTTCATGTTAAAGCTTTACGTACGAACCGGTGATTATTGAAACGGCAAAATCATTTGGTTCCTTAATCGATTTTTCAACAGCGAGGACAACTTCGATGACCAATTAAGATGTTATCGCGAGCGCAAAATTATTAAGGTCCTATCTGGCGCAGCGAAACCAACGGAAGGGAAGCTTGTTAATGGGTTTCCGGTGGGCGCAGCGTTAATATTTGACGAATCGAAAGTGTCCGCGAATTTTCAGGGCAACATGTAATTTAAAGATAGCAAATGTTGACCGCATTAGCCCGCAAACGCGAATCGATTAATCGTTCTGTTCGGCGGCCGGGCAGGAGGAGGTCGGGGGGCAGAACTTTGCCCGGTTAATCGGGTAATTGCTAGCGCCGAAGAAATTGGCCGTGGATTGGCGGACGTTAACGCGACTTTCCAGCGGTGTTCTCGCCCTAACTTCGACGGGAACGGCGGTCGGTCGTGCTAAGGCAATTAAAGCTCCACCCAATTAATGCCTCGGCGGGTGGGCGGCGAGCGTAGCAAGGAGGCAGCGCGCGTTTCTCTCGCAAACAACGCCTCCTCGCTGGTCTAGACGCTGAGCCGAGTCGAACGATACGGAAATTTCATTGAGCCATTGAATCGTGAATGCACGCAGCATTTCATTCGGCCGGTGAATAACGCGAATTGTCCGATAATGTTCGATTTATTCCGCGGTCGGACTCAAGAGGACGAGGACGTTATACGTCGTATAATGCTCTTGTCGGATTTATTTCGCGGAACGTTATCGAGAACACGCGACTCTCCGGCTCCACAGTTCTCGGGTTGCGGCGTGACCACGCACGATGGAGAAGCGAGTCGAGAAACCGACGACGTAGAAAAGGAAGAACGACCGCGAGAGAACCGAGCGCGTAACTTCTCGAGAAATACACGCGAAATCGAGCCGAAACTCTTCGGCCGAGCCGGTTACGATATTATGATAAATCGATAATTGTCCTGCGAGACAAAAAGAATGAAGCGTAGCTCGCGGACGTAAACAACAGTCCCGCAACCGCCGATCTCTCGACGATAACCGGAAGTCGAATGGTACGGTGGTGCCGCGGCGCGACTCGCGCGGTTGCAAAAAACACGCGCGCATCGAGCGTTAATTGAAACGTCCCGCGTCGGGACCGGCAGTGCCGACCGTTTTAAACACCGCCGGAGTATCGACGCGAGCACCGCCGCTAATAAGATCTTAGAATTCTCCGCTCGGTGGCCCCGCGCGCGAATCGATTTAAGCTGTTTATCCGTCTCGAATCCTTTCAACCGCCACGGCGCGGTGCGTTCAATGCGTCCGGTTACTCACCGACAGGAGAGCTGCGGGAAGCCTTTGGAAATCCTTAAACCCGCGAGGACCGGTTTAAATGCCGGCGATCCTCCCGGCGGCCAGTCGATGGTGGCAGACGGTGGACAGCAGTTTCGGACGCACTTATCGAACACACTGAACGGAGTTCTTCGGAGCCGGTCGGCGGACGTGGAAGACGGTAGAGCGAAAGTTCGAGGACAGGAGATAGAGAACCTCGGCGGATAACACTCCGGAGTCACTTGTCGCGCGATATCGATCGATCGAGTGCACGCGTGCCTCGGAGTCGCGTGCGGTCGGAGGCCGCGCCACGAAAATAATTCAATTCATTAGCGTTCGGCGTGCACGCGGTGGGTGGCGAGCGGGCGGCGGGTGACGTATCGCGTCTGTGGCACCGCGCAATGCGTTATTGCCGGTGCGCGACGGTCGGCGGCGGATAATCAAAGGCAGCAGCAGCAGCGGCGGCGGCGGTGGCGGCGGCAGCTAGCGCGTGAGAGAGCGCGGAGGCTGCTGGTTAGTCCGCAACGGCAGCTCACTCCGGAATGGAGAGGATCGCGGCGGGTACGCGAGGCGACGCGAGGCGACGCGACGAGGGACCGCCAACCACTCGGCGCACTCTCGGCTGGCTCTCTCAGCTCTCAGCTAGACTTTGCTCGACGCGCTCGCTCTGGCCGACGCGACGACGCGACGCGACGTCTCCTCGCTTCTCGTCGTACGGCCGCGGCTCGTCGCTCCATACTGCGTCGTCATTTGGCACGTCACGCGTGCCCGTGCGCAGGCCCGGTTGCCCCATGGGCGCGTGCCGTCTGCACATATTGTCGCCGACGCTGGCACACCAGCACCTACGTCGGGCTTTATGCGCCAGTCATCTTTATCAATCGGTCCTGTCACCGAGAGTCTTTGACCAGGTGACTGTCGCCTCGCTGTCGAACGTCAGTCACCAGCCCCCGAGCTGTTGCCACGCGCCGCGCTACGCGAATTAGCGCGCGCTTCCTGCTACGGATTACCGAGCCACCCCAGATTAGCGTCCACCGGGTCTTCCGCTTGCTCGTCGGCGAGTAGCAATTTTTCGCCCTTTACGAAGCATTCGGGAATAAACGAAGTGCCAGAATTTCTTCCGAATTCGCGCTCAGATTGCGTACAAAAATGGATCATTTGAAAAGAACAGATACGATTATTCGAGCCTTGCGTCTCGTTTTGATAGTTGTTGACGATCGGTGGCTATAACAACGAGCCGCGAGACTCGAATAATCGTATCTTTCCTTCCCAGATTGTCCAGTCTTGTGCGCGATCTGAGCGCGAATGAGGGAGACATTATTGTAATTTTCACTTCCTTCATGCTTTGCATCATTCTGACATATTTTTCAGATGCGATGGTTCTCGTTGAAATGCAACTATAATCCCGTACAGTAAATTCTCCCCAATTTTCCTTCAGCTTGTACACAAAAAATGGACAATTTGGGAAAAGGAGATACGATTATTCAAGCCTTGCACCTCGTCTTTATAATTGTTGACAATCGATAATTATAAAAATGAGCCGCGAGTCTCGAGTAATAATACCTTCTCTTCCCAAATTGTCCATTTTTTTGTGTACAAGCTGAAGGAAAATTGGGGAGAATTTACTGTGTAAGGGTTTAACCAGGGGTGTCAAACTCGCGGCCCGAGATGAACATTTTTGATGTCAAGTATCAGGACGTAAACAATAATTTAACTTTATATATGTTCATTACAATGTACTAGTCAAAATAAAAATATTTGTTTCTATGAACATTGATTTTTTTTTTGCGGCCCACCTAAAGTTAAGCATTGTTTATTTGGCCCAAGTTAGCTTTTGAGTTTGACATCCCT